GTCGCTAGCCGATGCCTGGGGTTTGGCTAGCTGGTCGCTAGCCGATGCCTGGGGTTCGGCTAGCTGGTCGCTAGCCGACAGTAGCATGGTATGAGTGCCGCCGTCCTGCAGCTGAAGTTAAAACTTTTCATGAAGTTAAGTTTAGTATCGTTAAGTTTCGCCGTCGACCTGCTTGTCGCCAGCTAGCTGTTGACAGCTAGCTGGCGACTGTGCAGCTAGCTAGGCTATTGTCCAGTAGACAGATGTTATGACTGTCAACCAACACTCTGGTTGTTTAAGCACTGCTACGTTCATTATTTTACAAGAGAAGACATATTCAGTGTTACTGTGTATTTCAGATTTATCTCCGTCAAATCGTTTCCACTTTTAAATGCTACGTTCCCGTATCAGAGGTCCAGTGTGTAAGATAAAGGTAAAAGAGAAATTAAACATTAAACAATCCTGGTGGTGTTTATACTAGTGTTTCTTTAGCTGCAACATGACACTTCACCACTAGATGTCACTAAATCTACATAGTAAACACTTAAATAATTGTTTATTTTAAAAGCTGAAATTTGTGGATGTCTGAATTCTGAATTTGTTTGGTCCTGTCCTGCCTCCTGGATGCTCTACCCAGGCCCCATCCTTCAACTCGATGCTCCAGGAACTTCAGATTGCTTGTTTTGCCTGTACCACATTCATACATTCATCATTATCATGTTAGACAAATGAAAACAAATCTGCACAATAGTGACTCTGCCCTCAGTGGTCACAGAGTGCTATTTCGTCTTCCAGCAAAGTATATGAAGATAAGAATATACTTATTTTAGTTAAATACTGATTTGCCTTTAATTTAAATATACGATTTACCGTCTGCAGCAACTGATAAAAGAACATGTTAGGTTGTGAGTTGAGTATCTCTGGACTTTGTAGATGTCACTGTGGGTCAATAAAATTGGGATTGGGCATTTTTCATTTTGTGACAGTATATTTGTGGAAAGTAATTGTCAGTGTAATCGATGCGTTGAGCTACTTTTTGAATTAAGTTTGGTCTGTTTTTGTTTTGCATATTTGGGTAGAATCCAAATGGTTTTAAGACTATGTTGTCTGTATTGTAAAGCCCTCTGTGACAAATGAATAATTTCAACTTGACCTGTTTCCAGGTTGTCATGGCCTCCTACACTTGCATCAGCTGCCGAGTGGCTTTTTCAGATGGCGAAGTGCAGCGAACACACTACAAAACCGACTGGCACCGCTACAACCTAAAGCGCAAGGTGGCCGACATGCCCCCTGTCACTGCTGAAAACTTCCAGGAGCGCGTCCTGGCACAGAGGGCTGCTGCCGAACAACATCTGAATGACTCATCGGTCACAGAGGGCTGTGCCGTCTGCAGCAAGAAGTTCGCCAGCGCCAACGCCTACCAGAACCACCTGCAGTCTCACAAACACCAACAGGCCGAGAAGCAGGCGCTGCTAGCCGCCCAGAAGGAAGTGGAGAGGATGAATGAAAAGAACCTGGAGAAGGGACTTGGTGACGAGAAGGTGGATCACGACGCCAGGAACGAGGCCCTGCAGCAAGCTCTGAAAGAGCAGCAGAGGTCGAGCCTGCCCAAGCAGGGGAAGGCCCAGATGTCACAAGGAGCGACAAAGGAGAAGACAGAGAGGCCGGACATACCTCCCCGTGTGATGTGGCTGGAGGAGCAAGCCAAGAGGCGAGAGAGAGAAGAGGGAGCCACAGCTGAGGGAGGTAAGGAGAAGATGTGTAACCACTGTGGACACATCAGAGTAAACCTCTTACTGACGTGACCTTTTTTACCAAAGTACTGTGAAGTTCTGCTTTATGTGCTTTTTGCGGTTATCTGTAATGTATGTATTGAGACTTGAGGTAGTTTCACTTGAAGTGTAATCGGTGTCAAGTACAGAAGTTGATGTTGAAGTTATTCGAGTTTCACATCCATTTATTCTTTGGTTTTATAATGAAATTCTTCCAGAAGATTGGGAGGACATTGAGGAGGAGGAGGAAGAAGAAGATGAGATGGAGGAGCATGAAGAGGAAATGATGGATCAGGAGGTAGGAGACCCTGCGGCTCTGTCTGACCCCCACCCCGCTGGTTTGCCAGGCTCCATCCCCACCACCGACTGCCTGTTCTGCTCCCATCACTCGAAGTCACTCTTGAAGAATGTCGCCCACATGACCAAAGTCCACAGCTTTTTCATCCCTGATGTGGAGTTCCTTGTCGACCTCAGGGGCCTGATCCGTTACCTCGGTGAGTTTGGAGCGTAAGTGTTAGGAACTTGGTCTTCAGGCAGATAATGGATGCATAGTGTAAAGGGCCCAGACGTTAATCTGTGAATGCTCAATACAAGTGTGGATGAGCACAGTTCACTCATCTGAGCAGTAAAATGAAACTGGAACTAAAGAGGAAAGGAAATACTCCCACTTCTGTGTCTTTGTGTTAATTCCCAAATGCAGCTGACATTAAAGGTTCAGTGTGTAGAATTTAGTGACACCTAGTGGTGAAGTGTCATGTTGCAGCTGAACACCCCTCACCTCCCCCTCTCCTTCCAAACATGAAGAAGAACCTGGCAACTTCAGTTGTCATAAAAACTCAGAAGGTTTTAGTTTGTTCAGTCTGGAATAATGTAAAAAAACATGGCGGCCTCCGTAGAGAGGGTCCCCTCCATGTAAATATAAAGTATTTAAATATAAAGGGTCTTTTCTGGGGTAAAGAAAACTACAATTCAGTTATTTTAGATGAAACGAACTAGTGAAAACATCATGAGGATTATTGTAGATTAAATTTCTGCCAATAGTCCCTTTCACCTGAATCTTACACACTGGACCTACAAAGTTTGTAGTTCTGTTTAAAGTCGTGTGAAAACATCTGCAAGTTATTTTCCAATGTTGAAGAGTAAGTCCCTGTATTAGAGTGAACAGTCCTGCACTAGCAGCGCTAAGCTGGATGTGAACATGTTTTCAATGTGTTTGCAAAAATATTTGGTTCTCTGTGATTCATTCTTTTTTTTTTAACTTTCCTGCCAAATCTAACAACAGTATGTTTTCCTCGTCACAGGAGAAAAGGTTGGTGCTGGGAACGTGTGTCTGTGGTGTAATGAGAAGGGGCGCTCGTTTTATTCAGCTGAAGCAGTACAGAGTCACATGACAGACAAAAGCCACTGTAAGCTCTTCACAGACGGCGATGCTGCCCTGGAGTTTGCCGACTTCTATGACTTCAGGTAATTAAGCCACTTTGAACAAGTGAATAATCTGTGATCTGATCGGTGGGCGTGGATGAAACTATAATAAAAATAACAAAACCCTCTGAAACTGCAGCGATGTTTCAGAACAACCAACTAAAACCTGAGTTTTCTGAAGAGCTGACAGAATTGCCAAAGTTGACTGAACATTTCTCAGCCTCTGAAGCAACACATGAAATAGATAGATCTTGCGTTTTCCCTCAAGTTCATGAACATTTAAATAAAACCAATCAAGCTGGCAAACTGGCTTAGATCCCCCTTCCTCCTCCTCCTCCTCCTCCTCCTCCTCCTCCAACATGTCTCTTGAGTCTTGGTGAGCAGGTCACCAGGAACATCGTCTGGGTCTGATTTGTTCTATTCATCGTTGGTTACTTCAGTGAAACTGCTGTAATGGGCTTTAATATTTCTCCTGTCACTTGGAGCAGCAGCCATTGTCTGAGCCCTCGCTTTAAAAACTTTTCCAGGATAAGAGCCCAAACGAGTCGCACCTACTCGCACATATCGCATCAGGTCTTAATGGATTAAGCAAAGGCAGATTTCAAGAACACACTGAGGGAATCTCTTCAAATTGTCACAGATGAATTGATTTTATTTTGGTGGTCAAGGTTCTCTGTACACCATACAAAGCATGTTCTTGTGAACATCATGTACCGGTAACACCAGCAGAGAATTTCATTTCATCTGGTACAAATATTCACTTCTACTCACGGATTCCTTGATGGTCAAAGGTCACAGACTACAATAAATTAATTTTGGTTTAAAAATGTGAATTACGCCTCCCACCTGTAGGGGGACCCAGAGTGTACCGGTGTGTTGCTTTAAAAAACGGCCTTTAAAGACATCTGCATGCATTTATGTTGCATCGCTGTCCTTTTTGTTCACATGTTCTATTTGCTTGCTTTGTTTTCTGCCAATAGGAGCAGCTACCCTGACGGTAAGGAGGGCGAGGATTCTGAAATGATCGAAGATCTGCCCGACGACAAGAACCTGGAGTACGACGACGAGACGCTGGAGCTGACTCTGCCTTCAGGTGACTTCATAATTAGTTATTATCCCCCCCACCAATCAACAGATGCACTTGTTATCACTGTCAATGAGTCACAGCATCACAAAGTAAACACTGTGTGAAGGTAAACTAGAGTTACAGCTTTCAGGATGCAGGATAAGATATCTTACTGTGTTTGTATGATTATTCTCATGTAAAATGATATTACATAACTTTCACTGTGTATCTGATTTGGCTGTTTTTAACTCCCAGGAGTCGCTGATGTGATCAAATCACATGGCGTGTTTAAAGACGTCGCAGTGTAGAACCAGAGCCTCATGGAGCGCTGTGCTCTCCTCCACTTGAAAGTGGTTTTCGTTTAGAGTTGAGCAGCCAAGTAAAAATGATGATATAAATTCAGTGTAAAACATTTATACATTAGTAAAAGTATTCAAGATGAGATGAAGCAGCATTCAACTCAATATCTTCATCATGTTTTGTTGTGTTGAGAAATAAAAAAGAGTGAATATACTGATTCTGAGGGGCGGGGAAACTGAGAGGAAGATTTGTGCTGTCGTTCGCTCGTTGCGATCGTCATGAGGTTTTTTTAAAAATATATCTTCATGCTCTAACATGAATACTTCTGATTGTTTCCTCAGGTGCCAAAATCGGCCACCGCTCCCTCATGAGGTACTACAAACAGCGATTTGGAGCTCAGCGAGCAGTGGTTCTCACCCACAATAAGAACGCTGTTGGCCGAGTCCTCCGGCAGTACAAAGCGCTGGGCTGGGGAGGAGATGGAGGTAAGATTTAACCGGAACAAAATTAAAGTTGTGTCTTTGGTGTCAAGTGTTTTCTTTTTAAAAGTTTAGAAAGAAACCGAGGTTTTGCGCCCAGTGTGGAATTGTGTCAGCAGATCCTTTGTGTTTTCTGTTCCGTGGAGATGACGTGTTTTGGCCGTTGGGGTTTATTGATAATGCTGTTTCCTTTTGTTTATCACTTCTACCAGCTTCCTCTTTCAACTTTGATTTCTTGTGCGCCTGAGAAAAGGCAACTGTCCCAACCAGGGTTTAACTACAGGGGCGCTCGTATACACGTGTCGTGGAGAAAACCAAATCAACCAAGACAAACGTGCAAAAAAGATTCTATGATCATTTTCAATAAGACAGCCTAACTTTATTTATACAGCAGGTTCAGTGTAAAGTTCAGATAAAATAATCCTGGAGATATTTTTACTGCTGTGTTTCATCTAAATACTTTATGTTAAAATACTTTATATCTAAATACTTTACATCGAAATACTTTATGTTAAAATACTTTATATCTAAATACTTTACATCTAAATACTTTATGTTTAAATACTTTATATCTAAATACTTTACATCTAAATACTTTATGTTTAAATACTTTATATCTAAATACTTTATATTTCTACCAGGAGTGGTTCCTCTCTATGGAGGCAGACATGTTTTTCACCACTAGATGTCACTAAATTTAAAGAGCGTGCCACTTGCTCCTGAGGGATAGGAACTGATCACGTCCTCTAGTGGTCATATTCTTGTACTGCAGCCAAACCACAGTCTCTGATGAGCGCTTCACATCCCACTGACATACTAACAAAAGAACCTCTCTGTGTTTAAGTCTTGTCCTTGGGTTCTCTTTTCATTCTTCCCATCATAACGACGAGAGAACTGCTCCTGAACAACGACACGCCCCATGTTCATTCACGCTGCCCCTCCCGTCTCTCTGTCTCTTAGGCAACGGCTCGTTCCATCGGACCCAGAGAGACATGCAGTACGTACAGATGATGAAGTCAAAATGGATGCTGAAGATGGGCATGAATCACAACACCACCAAGCAGAAGCACTTCAGAATCCAAATCATGTTCTAAACCGTCAGCGGGGAAACAGGTCGTGGTGCGAGACCGTGGACCGGTCGCATCTCTGCTTTTTTCCAGGCAACAAGACTCGGAGCGCAGAATCGAGCACAGCTGCAGAACCATCAAACCTTCAGATCGCCCGAAATCAGTCCTGATCTAATGTGTTATGTTGACTTGAGGTTTGACAACTGCAGCAAAAACTTGAATGGGCATAACTTTGTAGAATTCTCACACAAAGTGAAATTACCTTTTTTAATCTCTCATGTTCTCTCACGGAGCGGAAAGTGTAGGTCCACAGGAAATCTGCTTGAAATGAACTTGTGATTGAACTAGCAGGGGAAACATCTCATCAACTGCTCAAACAACCGTTTGTGTGGCGATCAAACGCACAAGGCACAGATGACTTAGGATCTCTATGGATCATGTATAACTGCTGCAGTTTGTCAGTTTGACCTTTTGTTAGACCAATGACGGATCTTTATGATTCAGTATACTCATATTACGCATCCAACTAAATAAAAGTTTCATATTTATTTGATACAGTAGTCTTCTTAAATGCTAACTATTTTGTTTGCAGGTGGGGGAACCACTGTGAACAGTGTTCTTCACCGATGTGGCAGGATTCACTGCAGACAGCGGAAATCTGACACGGCGCTTTAATTTGATGAGCAGAAACAACCTGTTGCACGTCGGGAGAGAAAATGTCAGCTTGTAGAAATACGATGAAATAAGCTTCTCTAAGGTTTATTAACAGGAGATCCTCTGTATGTACATGGTCACAACAGTGACACAACCACATTTATCAGAAATGTTTGTGTTCACAACCTATTGGCCAGAATTTAGTTTAGCTCTAGCACGTTAAAGCTGTTGACGCTATGCTAATTTACGTTCAGTGCAATTCTTTGTCTTCATTTTGTCATTTCATATGTTTAACGTACTTTTATGAGCTAGAACTGTCGACATTGTTCACATTTGTGCCGGTGCGGTGCGTTCGTCACCATGAAGCAGATGAGGCTGCAGCTAACAGTTATTCTCATCAGTGGTGAATAGATGTTCTGTTGTTTGTAAAGCATCTGGAAACGGATGCGTCCCCGTCAGTGTCTTACAGCTCCAATGACGTCTTCTATTTCTTGTTTGGAACAGCAGCAGATGTCGTGACTACATGAAGTGATCGAACAAGAGTTCAGTCGTAGAGGGGGGGGGTGACTGGTTGGTTGTGATGTGGCGGGGGAGCATGGCTGCCGTGTTGGTGTCTCCTCTTCGTTATTTCAATATTTTAAACACCGACTGCTCCACTGTGGATTTTCAGCCTACTGAAGGAAAGGCTTTGTGGTTTGGATCCTCGGTGCAGCTCCTTTCAGACGCGTCAGTCTGATCACTCGCTGTGGGCCTCGTGCAGATGATGATGTCATCGAAAGCTGATCGGGCTTCTTCTCCAGCAGGATGCTGACCCACCACACCAGCGCTTTAATGAGCTCAGCTCCTCCATTTGTTTGTGGTCCTCCACTCTATCTTTGGCAGGCTCTCCACTTCCTCCAGCAGGCTGGGAGAGTGTTTGCGGCACAGCGGTTTCAGGGGTTTGAGGCGCCCTGCCTCGTACAGTACGCCACTGTTTGAAGGAGTCGACAGGAAGAACAGAGAGGGGGAGGGGCTCTGCAGACAGGCCGACGGCGAGAAGGAGAATAATTGATCGGGATGACTTGGGGAGAGAACCAGAGCAAATGGCTGAGAGGCATTAGCACTCAGGAAGTGATGGGAGAAGGTGATTCTTAAAAATAGCTCGACCGTCTGATGCGTGTTGATGTATTTCATTTGCTCACGTTCTCTATTTATATTTCTGATTTAGAATCTACCAGTTCTTCAGGACGTCTGGCTCATAATCCTGAAGTTGAATTAGATCACCTGAATCCATGGAAACACTTTCATGAAGCTTAAGTGTTGGAATCCACCAGCTCCCTTTAAATTCAAATGTGGTGAAGCTGCTGTGGGCCGAGGGTTTTAGTTTCAGCAGCTGGTGACTTGTTTGAGTCATAAGAGAGGTGAGCCAATCAGGACCAAGTCCGCACGTAGCTCATGAAGTCGTTCACTCGAGCTGGTTATGAAACATTTATAGGAACAACGTCTTTGGTTGTGAAATATCTCTGATGTTTATCCTCCACAGTGAACTTTTAACTCCTCAATTCATTAGAGAAACCAAAGTAAAGAAGTGTTTGACCTCTTTCTTCTTCTCCACCGGTAGAAATCTTCTTCATTAACTTCTGTGTGCAGGGAAGTGTGTTCATAATGCTGACGGTCCTGAGAAAAACCAATATTCCCTTAGTAATAATTGAGAATTATTTTTATCGTCCCGTTGATGCACATTTGGTTTTTTAAAAGGTTTAAGTAGGAATAACTAAAAAAGTTTCTTGGTAAACACAAAAGTTCTTATCAGTGGTTTAAAACTGTCATAAAGTGGATGAAGGATGTCGGACCAAAACTGTTCCTGTCAAAAAACTAAAGTTTGGTTTCACTAACCTTGAGTGTGTATATTATGTAGAATATAAGAGGAGTACAACTAAAACGTGGTTTCCTAGAATAGAGGCGTCGTATGTTTTTGCCTGCGTGTGTTTTTTAGGAGGATTTCACAAAAAACGACTTTTCCATTAAAGGAGGAAACATCAGACATTTCCCAGAAGAGCACAGTCCAGCTGCACATCTGGATAAAGGGGCACATCCAGGATTTATTTTATTTCTTTAACAATGTGAGATGGGAAGTTTCCTAGGGAATCATCTGTGGACCTGAAGACGTATTTTGGGAGCTGATATCGATCAGTTTGGAGCGGCTTGATTGAATTTAAGGAGAGAGTTGGGCCTTGGAGGAGAATGAGCTCTGAATGCCATTTTAGTCCGTGGATGGGCGCCACTCTCTCAGAAGTTGAAATCCAAAAGTAAATTCAGAGACGGTCGATCTCAGTCCCACCCCCCACCCCCCTAAACAAACCTGTTCGGACGCAGTTCACCCAGCCCTCCCTGCTCTCAGCACGATCCCGGTCTCCCTTCGAGCCCTGGGGACCTGGTATTGATCGGTGCTTCGTAGGTAGTGATTGGACATGAGTGGATAATTTCCTTTGCTGCATTAGAGTCCATTACTGGCCCACTCCCCGGAAAGCGATAGACATCGTCAAAAGAAAAAAAGAAGAAGAGAAGATTCTTCTTGGAAAAGCAGTCTCCTCCTCCGACAGACGATTCGCCGACTGAGGCTCCGTGAGCTTTATTATCAGGTCCATTTGGAGGCTGATGAGAAGATACAGGCAATAATTTAGACACTGAGTCAGGACACCAGAACAGTGTGAGTTCTCAGGGTGTCACACACGTTCAGCAGACAGGAGAGAATCAGGAAATGTTTTTAAGTCTTGTTGATCGTTTAGCATCACCCAATCATTTAGACTTTTCAAGATGGTCCCATGGAGGGATGGGTGTTTTTTATTTTTTTTACATTTAAAAGGCAGCTTCTCTGGATTATAATGCATCTAATAATAATAAACTAGGATTATTATTTTGTGACCATTGAGGTTCATGGTTGTTACCGAAGCATCGCTCCAGTGAGATGTAGCTGGAGTTTGGTTGAAGGTGTTTGATTTGCTTCAGGTGAAGTGTTAAGAAGCAGCTCGGAGCTCAGATGTGATGATCTGAACACGGGCTGCAGACTTGAGCTCAAACTCTTGTTTCTCTCTGCGTCCTGACACGGTGAAAATCCAGTGGAACCTCGGTTCCTCTTATGCCTCCGGGCCGGTGTTCCACTTTAACTGCTGATGTTTGTTTCCATCATCAGAGAACCAATCCAGATGTTTGTAGAATGTGAGTCAGAGATTCATATGAAGATCTTTGAACCATGTGTCCTCGGTGTCATACGTGTTTATCTGAGGTCATATGAAGAAAGTCTGGCCGAGAGTGAAAGATTTAGGGGAAACCTTGAATCCCCCCTGCCCCCCCCCCCGGCAGCCTGTGCTGTAAATATGATGCAGCTCCTCTTTTTCCTTCCTCGCAGGCGGCAGTGCAGAGGTAATGCCTTGGTGGGTCAGGAGAGTTATCTCCTCCATCATATTAATGGGATAATAATGTGATTGATTGGTCGTCTCCCCTGGGGAACGGTCCTTTCTGTTTCCTGAGCGCTCGACTCATCAGAGGGAAGGATTCTTGATCGAAAGCCGCTCAGTAGCTCACGGCCACATCAGTGTGTGTGATCACTCTAAGCATTGACCTCTCCGGGTTCGCGTGTAGGTTTAGAACTCGGTTAAGTTAAGGGTTAGGCCTTAAGTTGTGATGGTTACGGTTAGGCTAAGGGAGGGCATTATACCCAGGGTTGAAATGATATAACGTGGTAACAACTCCAGTTGGTTATTTGAAGCATTTAATCCTTTATTATTATGATGATTTGGTTGATTCTGTCCAGCATCAACCAAAGTCAACACGTGTCCAAGACGCGAACTCGGCCAGTGCAGCGTTTGTTGTGTTTTATAAAAACATGGCGGAAGGAGATCTGCTGTTCAGAGCTAACAAACTAACATCCACTGTTAGTTATTTTGCCTCGACTTGACTCAACAAGTTGTCGAACCTTCGATAGATGACGAAAATATTCTCATCGTTCTTATTGATGTATTTAATGTCAATGTAAAACTTGGCGAAGTTAGTTTGTGTATTCGTTGTTGTTTTTTTTTTATCCTTTTGAAGCAAATTTTGAACAACACTGTGATAATACTTAAACAATATTGGTCACTGGAGTTTTCACACCTCTTCATCTGCAGCAGTGCCAACGAGCGTCCTCACAAAGATAGAAGTACAAGTGTGTTCCTGTACTTCTATATTTGTGAGGACCATTCTCAGCATAGACCTACAGAGGACAATTTGACCCGTCCTCACTTTATCAATGGACTGTTCGAGGGTGAGCCCCCCCCCCCCACACACACACTTCATCTGTGGATGTAAAATACAGAATCAATTACAGTAGAAATGGAATTAGAGAAGCATGAGCTCAATGATCAAATACAAAATACATTGTTCAAGGGCTCTGGAAGACAGAAGTGTAGATGTACAAGTGTGTGTCTGTCTGTAGTGTGTGTGTGTGAGTGTCTGTCTGTAGTGTGTGTGTGTGTGTGTGTGTGTGTGTGTGTGTGTGTGTAGCTGTCAGCTTGGACCATAGAGGCGGAGGCAGAGGGGGAGGAAGGGAAGAGGAAGACGGGAATCCGGTGCTTCAGGTCGGTTTGAGTTCCGCTGCGATGCCTGGACGCTGCTGCTCGGAAATGCTCCCCGGGTCTCCGGAGCGCACGAGGCGGATTCAGCCGGCGGATGGGCCGCAGCACCGGCGGGGATTTGGCTGCTGATCCTCGGTTCGGCATCCACGGAACGGAGGGACCTGCATCACGCCTCGCGGTGGTGGGGGACACTGTGCGCGGCCGTCGGGGGCATCGATGTTATTTAATTCCGACACTTGACTTGAACATGAGCACGGAGGAGGCAGGGGCGAGGGGAGGCACCGCCATCACCCACCGCCACACCTGGGAGGAAGAACCGCGCGCCCCCCGAGGACGTCCGCATCCCGAGGACGAGGCGGAGCCGGGAGAGGAGCGGGAGGAAGGGGAGGACTGTCGGGAGGACCGGGGCTGCGGGGACACATGTGGGGGCGCCTTGCAGGAATCCAACCGGGGGGATTGTTCCAGCGAGGATGGGGCGGTCGGGGGAGCATCGTGCAAGACGCAGGCGATGCATTCAAACTGCAGCAGCGACACGTGCATCCCCACTCCCAGCTGCCGCATCTGCTTCCAAGGCGCAGAGCAGGTGAGTGATGTCATGTGGGTGGACCCGGGCTCAGGTGAGACACCACGTGTGTGTCCGGGAGCTCCAGAACAAATCCCACTTTCCTCTGGGGTTCCAATGGTTCCCTGTACTCTAGAATGGACCCTTTACTTTGAAATACTTTACATTGGAATACTTTACATTTACATCAGCTATAAGCGAGAAAGATCACAAAGCAACTTTCAAAAACACGATAACGTTAAAAGCCTGAAAACAATTAGCAAACATTAGTCTCTAGCTGCTGCATGGAGCTCACACAAAATGCAGAGTTGTTGGTCACTTTCACGTGTGTCTCAGTGTTCGATGGGAATTTGGTCACAGCTGCAGCAGGTTGAGGTTTCACGGGTTTCCTGTCGTAATACGAGACTGTGGTCGTCGTCTGAATGGAGACAGAATCTCTACAGTCCAGCTGTAACATGAAAACTGAGCTGAGTTTGGAGGTTTTCTTTGGTTAATGCTCTTCACATACGCCGCTAGAGCTGAAATAACTAAATTGTCCGATCGACACTTGTTGGTTAAATGTCTTTGTGCAGGTTTGATTGGACAAAGTGAACAAAAACTGGAAACGTTTCAATGTGAGTGGAGTTTTCCTGAGTGAGGATTTACAGGGTCAGAGGTCAGCATGCTCTGAAAACAGTTTCCTTTCGAGGCTGAGCATCAGGGAACCTTTAAATACAAACTGTGCTGTGTAAACTAGTGAGTGAGATTAACTTCAGGATGATTATGAGACCAAACTACCTTTTGAACTTTCATGCTCGTTATTGTATTTTTATCGGGAAATCCTTCTGAGCTGAATACAAGAGGACGCAGAAGTTCCCTTCAGACGGTCCTTGTTTTCATGTTGTCACGTTTCTTATTGCACATTTATGTGCACGGTCAAATCATCGTCTTGTGTATTGGTCCGTTGTACAATCCAAACCCAATGAAACAGACTGCTTCATATCCATCATATCAGAGGGGGATGAAAAAGGCTGAATCATAATCTATTTATAATGAACATCATCCCCAAGCGATGCGTCAGTCGAACCGTCTGCTCGTCTTCCTGGAGCTGGATGGACAGATGTGGACCAGCAGGGACAAATGGACACTCCGGCTCTGAAACCTGACACGGCGTTTGCCTATTTGGTCCGTGACAGCGAGACTCGATGAGGGACGATTCATCCCCACCGGAGCTGAAGGGGAAGAGAGGAGTCAGGGCAGTAAACGCCTAAGTGAATATCCTGTCTTCTGAACGTGGGCTATAGCCTATTAGCAGAGCTAATCTAATTGCTCTGCCTCCGGGTCCAGACTAATACTTGATTTTGATACGAGGCCGCGGGCTGGTCAAGCTCACAAGTTACAAAGAAAATTGCAAAACAGAAATTTGACACTTAAAATACTCCTGTGTGAGGAGACGGAGTGAGAATAAGATGTCATTTAACCCGAGACAAGGCCCGATCAGCATCCACAGGTTGTCATTTTTAATTTCCATTAAAAATATCTTTTGAACATTTCCCCCAAATTCATAATAACAAAATAATAATAATAACTTGCTCGCCTTTTTTGGGAGCTGTTGACGACATACTGGACAAACTTCATACACAGATGAAGTCCGACAGAGATCAGAGAGATCATTAAC